CAGTTGTATCTGGACCTCGCTGCGTATGATCCTCAGTTCATCTGTCTTTGCTGTAGACATTGGGTCATCATGGAGGGCCTTGTACGCCCGACGCTTTTGCTCAAGTAGCATTTGGATCGCTGTGCTGTTTTCGTTAAACCAGTCCCTGTGTTTCCTGGTAGAGGGTCCGAGACGCTCAGCGGCTGTGTTATAGACCGTCTCACGAAGCGTGGTCGAAGCTTTTTCCGCGTCCTGGTTGTCCAGTGTGATTGTATCAAGGCGTTGATCCAGGTTGTCAACAAATGCTTGTCTCAAATCAGGGATCTTCAGCTTACTGATGTTGAGGCGTTTCGGAGCTTTGGTGGCCTGAGGTCGTCTCTTAGGTTGGATGTGAATTTTTATCTTGGAGACGATGATGCGGTGATCCGTCCAACATTCTGCGCCACACATGGCCTTAGTCACCCTCAGGTCCTGGCAGTCCCTGTGCCACACATGGCCTTAGTCACCCTCACGTCATGGCGGTCCCTATGCCACACATGGCCTTAGTCACCCTCACGTCATGGCGGTCCCTGTGCCACACATGGCCTTAGTCACCCTCACGTCCTGGCGGTCCCTATTTCTGACGATGACATAATCAATTAGGTGCCAGTGTTTTGAATGGGGGTGCATCCAGGAGGTCCGGTTGCGCGTTGGCAGGCTGAAGGTGGTGTTCGTTATTAGGAGGCCATGTTCAGCACAGGTCTGAAGTAGCAGTAGGCCGTTGCTGGTGCACTTTCCAACACCATACTTCCCAATCACTCCCCCCCCCCCAGGAGGTGCAGTCACGTGCATTTAAATCTCCAAGTATGATGAGTTTGTCAGCAGTCGGTGTGGAAGAGCTGACAGTGCTCAAGTCTACATAAAATTTACTTTTGGTCTCTTTTGTGTTTGTCATTGTGGGTGCATAGGCACTGACTAAGGTAGCAGACTTCTTTCCATCGCAGAGGGGGATTTTCAACGTCATGAAACGGTCATTTATACCTTTTGGAGAGCTGGGGAGCTTGCTCACAAGAGAGGTTTTGATAGCAAAGCCAACACCAGCTTCTCGCCTTGCGTCAGGGTCGCGTCCGCTCCAGAAGAAAGAATGGCCAGCAAACCTTTCTGAGATTTCACCCTTGCCAGAGAGTCTGGTTTCACTGAGGGCGGCGATGTCTATATTGTATCTCGCAAGTTCATGGGCAATGAGCGCCGTTGAGGTCTGTTAGAAGTGTCCCTGTCAAGTAGTGTGTGGATGTTCCATGTGGCAATTTTCAGTGAAATAGTGTTTAACCCTATTTTACGAGCGCAAAAATTGGGTCCCTGCCGACCGTGTTCAGCCGGCCAGGGTGTGAAGGAGCAGGCATTGTTTTGGGCACCTATTCTAGCCCCTTCGTCATGCATTTAGGAGAGCCTGCCTGTCGCCACGAGACTTGGGATGATGGGTATAGTTAGATCACTGATGACTTGCGCGGGTGATGTTCTTTAAAATGAGGAAGATTTGCGCAGTGTCAACCGCACTCTTTCGCCCAGACCCACCGTGTCCAGTGGCAAGACTAAGTAAAGACGATCGTAGATGGGTACGGATGCAGTGGATGACCAAGATGTTCTACGTGCATCATATTGCTCTACGCACTCCACTGTGCGTTGCTGTAATCGCCTTCACCTCCGTTGAACCTAAATGGTTTCCTCCGCAGGATTCGTCGACGTCCAGGCTTTGCATGCAGTAGGTAGGCAGACTTAAATAACCATTCATACATCATCACCAGTGGCACTACAGCCCATGTAAGGATCTGGGCTGCTCCATTACATCATTCCATTCATACATCATCACCAGTGGCACTACCGCCCATGTAAGGACCTGGGCTGCTCCATTACATCATTCCATTCTTACATCATCACCAGTGGCACTACAGCCCATGTAAGGACCTGGGCTGCTCAATCACATCCTTCCATTCATACATCATCACCAGTGGCACTACAGCCCATGTAGGGCCCTGGGCTGCTCCACCATATCCTTCCATTCATACATCATCACCAGTGGCACTACAGCCCATGTAAGGGCCTGGGCTGCTCCACCACATCCTTCTATTCATACATCATCACCAGTGGCACTACAGCCCATGTAGGCTGAAATAGGAATGGTTGCCAGCTTTAATCCTTTCTTTCAACTCCAAGATTATTTCATTTTGGTCATTTGTAGTAACCTCTAGATATTTGAAAGTAGCCACTCTCTCAAAGGTGTGGTTGTTTATATTCTTGTTGTCATCAGAATGCGTGTTTCTTGATATTATCATATATTTTGTCTTCGCGTCATCTATCTCAAGACCAGCTTTGATTGAGGCCTCTTCAAGTTCCCTGAATGCCTTATTTATACCATTTCTGTTTCTGCCCAGTAGCGCCACATCGTCCGCGTATACCAGGTTGGCTGTTAAAAGTTCCTGATGCTTTTTGTTCTGTAATACCTCTCTGAAAGTAGTTTTTAATGGCTCTACTGGTGCCCACATGAATATTTCCAATGACTTTTTCTAACGTGATGTTCAACAGGATACATGATAGTGAATCTCCTTGTCTGAGTTCATGATTAGATGGGAATTCACTCGAGTATTCTCCCCTAACCTTGATTCTACTTTTGGAGTTGGCCATTGTCATAGGAATGAGCCGGGTAATCTTGTTAGGGGCTCCAAGATCCTGTAGAGCGTTGTATAGGAATGTCTGTCTACGCTATCGTATGCTGTTCTGTAATCCACGTATAGTTGGTTTATATCGTAGCATTTCTCCACGTGTCATCTAATAGTAAAACTATGATCTGTGTTTGATCTATTCCGAATCCTCATTGATAGTCCCCTGGGATCTATTCACTATACCTTTCCATTTTTCTTTCCATCAATTTAGTGAGAATATTGTAAGTATTCCGACACTAAAGCTCTTTTAAAATAGGAGCTTGCAGAGGCTACATGTACTTTTTACTGGACATATTTATAACACCAGCTGGAAATCACCTTCAACATGTTGAAACCAATAGCTACGACATGATGGCTTTTTTATGACGCGCTTAAAAGAAAACAGTAAAAAAAAAAATACAGCTCACAATAAATAAGACATTATAACACCGTCGATACGTTGCTATTCTTCATGACCGCCTTACGAGCCCACAACACTGCAACATGTTGCCACCCTTCTGTCTTCTCGTGGTACACAGCGATCTAACTCATCACCACCTTACGAGCCCACAACACTGCAACATGTTGCCACCCTTCTGTCTTCTCGTGGTACACAGCGATCTAACTCATCACCACCTTACGAGCCCACAACACTGCAACATGTTGCCACCCTTCAGTCTTCTCGTGGTACACAGCGATCTAACTCATCACCACCTTACGAGCCCACAACACTGCAACATGTTGCCACCCTTCTGTCTTCTCGTGGTACACAGCGATCTAACTCTGAACTCAGTGACAAATCATCCACTACAATCCTTTTACGATATCTCTCATGATATTACCTTGTACAGCAAGCGTTATCAAAAAAAAACCTTTGTCCGTCGAGTGGTGTGTTGGTATTACGATTGAGGTAGGAGGGGGGGGTGTTTGCCGAGAAAAGAAATTCACCACAATGTTAAATGACGCAAGTTTCTGTCTGACATAATGGTGTTGCCGGGCTTCGTTGCCTCCATGACATCTTTCAAGATGTTTCAGGATGTTCTTTTCAAATGGAGAAAATTGAAAACTCCCCCCCCCCCCTTTTTCTTTTTCCACTTTTACAAAATGAACCTTCAGAGGGGCTCACACTTTGCTTCTGATCGCCGTCTTTACTTCTCCGTGACGCCATCCCTCGCCGGCCTCACAC